TCTGTCAAAAAGTATAAAAAGTACTTTTTTTGCAAACACACATTTGCAAAAGAGAAACTTTTAAATAAGATTAATTATTAATTCATTTGAGAAGGGTTCGCACCTTATTTAGACACATCCACTGTCAATATAGAGAATGAATCTTTCTAACATAAATCACACTTCAATCATTCTGCTATGGGTCACTCTTTGGAACAGAAATTTTTTTACCTGGTCGATGATTAATTTTACTTTGCTGTTAATTCTCAGTGTTAAGCTGCTGTTAATGAAACTCAACAATTCCTGCAGATGTTTCACCCCATAAGTCTTTCATTGAACAGAAGGGATTATATCCCTGAGCCGCTGAAGGGATAGAAATAAGTAACAGATGGAGGAAATGTTGAGTTTGCATTAATTGCAAATAGCAGCACCAGCAAATTAACAGCTACCTTTAATAAAAATCTGATATAAAGCTGCCAAAATGAACATTTGAAATGGTGGCAAATAGCATCAGTAGTGGAATTCAAAAGTTCAGTATTAAATTGTGATGGGCAGCAATTTATTCATAGTCATGCTAAATGCTATGCAGCAGCAAACTTAAATACTATACTTTAAGAGTCGGGTAATTGTAAGTCAAATGACTCTGCACTGCTAGAGTGGAAAAACTCTGCGATTAAATTTCTACGATGATTCCTTTGGGGTTAAACGTCCTTGTTTCCGAGGTTTGGAGTGCCTCATATTAACACAGCCTTGTTAAAGTTTTGTCCTCCCAAGGTCACAGCTGCCATTTCCTTCCTGATATGATACACATCCCCCTGCTCGCCGGGCACAGAGAGAATGACACAATGATGATTATGAGAGTTGAGATCCAAGGCGAACACTTTGATGTTGAAGGATGGATCCCACACTCCAGCCAGGAGCAGGAGGGAAATCAAACAGTCTAACAACCCAGCAGCACATTTGTCTGCCTCCATTCTCCAATCCAGCAGGAATTTCAACTATGTCTGCTGTAACTAGCCCCAGAGAAAGCTAACAAAGGCTTCAACGTGCTGCTCAAAAGAAAACAGGAGAGAGAAATGAGAGTGAGAGGAGTGCTGAGGTGTGGACAGAAAAGGAAGTGGAGAGATGGAGATGCCAGCTGGAGGAAAGACGGGAGAAACAGACTAAGAGCATGTGGTGCAGGATCTGTAGGTGTTGGTAAATGATGAAGAGAGACAGCAGAAGAAAAAGAACATAAGATTTGACCCTATTGAAATATTTACCCCTCTGGGACCTATTGGTATTGCATGACTTGTAGTATTTTTTCTTAGCTGTTCTAGTTTGCAAAAAAAAAAAAAAAACTAGAGAAGAGCAGAGGTGCAATAACACCTGGGTGTGATTCCTGAGTAAAAATTGTAAAGACAAATATGACAAAAAAAACAAAAGACATGTATCAACATGCAACAGAGCTTTGTTTCAAGTAAAGTATTAGATTGGTGCACATATGACTTCACACAGTAAAACCCAGCCAATGCTGGAATTTACATCCATTTAAATTGTAATTTTAAGTTGATTATCTACGGCAGACCTCAATGGCTGTTACAACAGTACAAACAAAGTGTACTGAAATACACTGAGAAAAAAATATGCAGATGAAAATTTTGACAGCTGGTAGTTACGCTCAATTTTCTCACATTCTCTTTCCCATATGTGCACCCATTCAGACTTCTGACTTACAGACATGCACTGATCTGTCTGAATAATAAACAGAAGTACTGACCACAGAACATGTGGAACCGCATTCTTTCCATTTCTCACATATGCTTTACTACTTTACACTTGTAGCTACTTCAGTAAAATTAGCAGCCAGTTTTTTGAACATCTTTTCTAGTTTAAAGTTGTTAGCATTGCAAAGTTAGCGCTAGAAAAGCACTGACATCCAACATGACAAATGTTGTGCACCCGATTTCCATCAACTGTCTGTCTCACTCAAATAAATCAGGTAACTGCAGCCTGTAAAAGGACGGACTGACCGGTTGACCGAACAGGCCAAGGAGCCAGCACGAGTCTACAGACTTTGCAAAAAAGCCAAGAATTCAAATGGACAGTTGTCACTCTGACAAAAATTTAATTGGCGCTTTCTTGCTGGGCGGGAAAACTAATTGGTTCGACAGCACTACGGAGGCGATGTAATTGGCTAGGTAATGTCAGTCACACGAGGGGAGGGGGAGGGGACACGGTGCCATCTGGGTGTCTGTCAGCAAACCGTTAGATAATCCTGGGGTCTCTCAGCTCTTTCTGTGCTCTCCCATGCTGTCCTCATGACAACTGCTGCCAGGCGGTCTGCCATGTCTCCTGCTTTGTGCTAGATAGAGACATGCGCACAGCAATACTAAAGCTTGCTCTACAACAGCTGATGTTGCCAATAAAATACCACAAAGGTGTGTAATTAGGCATGCATGTGAAGTGATCACACAATATTTATTAATGTTTTATTTTAACATAAAAGTATGCCGACTTCCATCCACTCATTTATGTAAGTTTTGTAGTTCTATCATTGACTCTTCTAAATGCAGTGCTAACTGTGCTGAACGCTAGTGGGTGTTTTTTTGTTGTTGGTTTTTAATGTAAACAGCAGCTGGAGGGTAACACCAGTAGAGTACAGCTTTTTAGTGCAGCTGGATCAATTTCAAGCAAGGCAATAACACTCACTACAATATGTTTCAAGCTGTCACAACAGAGGAGAAAAGGAAAAAACTAAATGTGTGAGTAAGAGTGTTCTAGTGGGAGCCCTGTTAATTATCACCTACAGGTATTGGGAGAAGTTTCTAAGCTACTTTTAATGAGAGATGGAGCCGAAGGAAGTATAACCACACACCACGCATTGCTTTCAACCACATTTATGGTCTTAATACTGAATAAGCTCATGTTACATTTACAAAAGGATGACAATGAAAAAAAATGATATAGCTATTATTCAAAGGGCTCTGCAGCAGCTGCAAAGTTTACAACCATGAGGTGTAATATACAGTTGAGTTTATGATATTTCAGTTAGCTGAAGTTAATCCTGCAGTGCCTGTAAAGCAGGAGAGGCAGACAAAGAGCAGTCTCACCAACACTAAATCTGACCAATACTGTAGCCCTTTGAGTGGGAGGGTGGCTGAACAAGATGACTACCAACAGCTGCCTCAGTCCAAAACCAAATACACAGGGAAAAGAAAAAACAAAAAAAACACAGATACACAAACTCCCACACAGAGACAGAAGCCCTGCAGAAAAGCATGCAGACACACACAAACATAAACACACTGTGCGGGCTGTGACTGAATATTCCCAGTATCCTGTCAGGCGATCACTAAGGCAGTCACGGTTCATTTTAGCATAGAGCTCTCAACCATCCACAGGAAATTTCCTTCTGGCTCTTTCCATTTTACTGCACACTGAAATCCTACCAATTACATGGCCACACACCTTTGTGTTAATATCTAGAACTGAGGAATTGCCATTGTGGCTCAGCAAACCACGGATGTGAATTTGTCTTGTGTGTTAAACGCTTGCTCTATTTTTGCAGATCTTTCCTGTCATGTCAAAGTTTTTTTTTTCCCCATCTCTGGCTTTTTGGCAAATCATTTTCTGCCTTCCTTGGTCCTCTGACCCTTCCCTTCCCCCCATATCCTTCCTGTTTCTTTTTCCACCATAGTGTGTCCCATAAGGGGGAAAATGCACTAAAAATATAGTAGACTTGTTTGATGAAGCTATGTGTGGAAGAGGAAAGACGGCCTTGCCATTTGGAGAATACATCAGCATGTAGAAAAAGCCTGGAGGAGGAAAACAAGCATGGGAAAAAGAGCTGGAAGAGATAGTTGAAACCTCAAGATAGGCAGCTTAGAGTGATGGGCGAACAGCAAGAGGTCGAGGACATTATAAGAAGGCAGGACAGGAGGAAGAGGAAACCATCCAAAGAGAGGAAACCGTGTGGGGGGTTAATCAGCTCCTCATGCAATGCAGCCACACATTTATCCTTCTGAAACACTACACACTTGTTACTAACATAAATCTGTACACAAAACAATGGAAAGACAGATTAGAATATCCATACATTTCCCTGAGCTACTGATGTGGCAAGAAGTTGTCACATGAAAGTGCAACACATAATCTCTTGAGAGGTGAAAATCAATTCCAGTGGGAGCAGGCTGGGTTGAATGGTGCTTAGACAGGCAGGCGGGGGGATAAATGCTGACAGTGTGGAGTGTAGCATTAGCGGAAAATATGAAAAATTGTCCTGCTAGCAGGAAGTACCAGCCAGGAGCCAGACAAAGGAATGGAAAGCGGTGTTCTGCCATGTTTTATATATTTATGACTGGAAAGAGACAAACTGAACATGAAATTCCTTTGCCTTATCAAACATCCAACCTCTCTCACTATCAACACAACTCCCAATACATAAGCAGTCCTTCCCTTTCAGCTGAATGTAAACCAAATGTTGGCCTGCTGCATTGCAGTGCAGTCAACATCCAGATTCTGTGCTGCTACCAGGGATTCCTCTTAGGGCTACTATTTCTAGTTTAATCTACAGCACAGCAGGAAACGTGAAGCTGCAGCTTCCAGGGGCGGGGTGTCTTCCAGTCGGCTGCAGATGACAGTGTAGGATGACTTAAAAGAAAACACGCACGCATCTTTGCAGCAAACATGCCTGCAGACAATCTGCGGAGCTCTAAAGAACCCCTGACAATAACTGTCTGCAAAGATTTCTGACAGTGCGACCCATCATTGACCCCAATACAAGGTCCCTTTGTGCTTAGCCTACATTCATTTTAAGCGCCGGACAGAGGCTACAGTTGCTTAATTTGCTCATGAGGGGATGACCCCACGAAAAAAACCCCAGGGTGAGTACCACTTTGATCTTCCTCCACACCCACAGACCCCGTTTACTGACCAAAATGCATACATATAACCACACAGAATGGGTACGGTTTAACCATGTAACCCTTGTTAATGCAATGATGGGTAATATTTCTGGATGTGTGCCGCACACTACTTACATCTCAAGCATTATCTCATTCAGGTAAATCCCATCCACTAATTCAATATATTCCGATAATTTGGTGCCATCGGTCACCGTCGAGTGTCCGACCGTCTTCACCTGAAAAGGGGACAATAGATAATCAATAAAAGAACAGCATGGGGTGATTAATTGGCGAGCTCAAGACACATCTGAATAGCTAATTAGGGAGCTTACCCAGCAGACCAGAGGTGTGAGCATGAACTGCTCCAGCAAAGGAGTGAACACCTCGTTTTCCATGTTTTCCTGGCGCCGTTTATTTCAGCAGATATGGGTTTTTTCCCTTTTTAAATCGGAGAGAAACGCGTTTCTTTTGACACCGCTCATGTAGTTAATTCAATTAAATCGACGCTCATTGTGGCTACAGGCCACTGAAAGACGTCCGAGGTTCCTTTTGATAAGGGGTAAAAAAAATCGTTAATCCACAATTTTCTAGACACAAGCCAGCTGTTTCAGATGCCAACGACGGGGGTTCGGCTCCCTCACGGAGAAGGCAGGGATTCGCATTTTCTGTTAAAGCGCTTTAAATAAAGATACTCTGTAATGTGTCGCCAGCCGGGCTCGCTGTCTATCTACAAATAAGATTAAGGAGACTCTGAGACCTGCGCCAGGTATGGTTTTATGCTGAGGAACTGGTAGATAGAGTCCAACGCTGAGGGGAGATATTCCTCCAACACCTCCTTTTAAATTAAATATCCAATACGAAGGGAAATCCAGATGTTCAAGGTCCGTGGTTTGAAACCATCGGGTTACTCCTCAAATTTATTCTAAGGTCATGTCTAGCTACTGATTCTGCTTCCCCTGTCTGCCTCTGTTCAAATGCTGCACACCACTGAGCGCAAGACTGGGGAGGAGGACACGTAGGACCGCCCCCCTCCCTGCCTCTCGCGTGCATCTCCCTCCGCCTCATCGCCTCTTTAGCCCAAGAAAAGTAGGGCACTGATCAAAGCATCTCTTTCAGCTCAGACTACTTCATGCTCTTAGTCATGTTTCGTAGAAAGCACTTAGTCATCTAGCGCAGTTAAACTATCTTAAGATCATTTTAAGTATCAAAGAAGCAAATGTTGTTTTTTTGGGGGGTTTTTTTTATATTGAGAACCAGTTTGTCTGCAGCTTCAGCGTTATAATTTCTAACATGCTGTGGCACATTTGGTTCCAGTTTGTGCTTAGTTAATCCACTGGCATGTATAAATGCTGGGGATCCAGGTATACTCTTTGTCTGCTTTTGCAGCATGCAGTACATTAGTGACATGTAGGCTACTGACACCTGGTGGGTAACGTAAAGACTGGAGGTGTAGTATCTGTCAATCAAAGAAACTGTTCCATCAAATTTGCAACATATGATTCGTTTAAATTTAAAATAAGCTTTCTGCAGTCTATTGTTTGTTTGGTTTATTAAAGGAGACTTGTGCTCATTTCCAGCTTTGTGTTTGTTTATTTATTTATTTAGCATTATTTAGGAAGTTCCTTTGAAATCAAATCTGTTTTGCAAGGGAGATTTGGCCAATGCAACTTTTAGACTTATATCCCCAAAATACCACAAATACAACAAGAAATACAAGGTCTACATACATACAATTAATATGCAATAAACAAATAACATAAAACATTAGTGGCCTCTAAAAAAAATAATGAAATGTCTCCTTTTCTGCAATCCATATGATGATTTAAATTCACCAATAGCTATAGCCATGTTTAAGTTTAAGGTCTTCCTGTAAATTCCATGTCTAACAAAACACTGTTGTCCCCACATCTGTCAGAACTCTAGTCACATCAAAAAAGGCCAATCATAGCTAGTAACTATTGATATGGCAACAAAGAGGCGTCCAATAGTGTTAAATAGTATCGCTTCATAGAGAAAGATAAACCAATATTGGTTTTTGTAAGTTATCAGAGACTTTGGATTTTTAATAAAATGTAGAGATTCACGGTACAATCTATCAAGATCTTCTTGCTACTCTTGGACTCTAGTCTATTATTATTTCAAAACAATCCCGATTAATCTTATACTGGGCCTTGGTACAGTCCCTCATTTCATCCAGCATCTGTATTTTAGTTCTCATCTTTAACCCAACTTTCTTCTGATTGGCTATCCCTGATAAAAACACAGGCTCAATAGCAGGTGGATGGGTCTGTAATGACAATATTATCTAGACTCAGTGACATCATGCATACTCAAGAGTAGGAAAAAAAGTATGTGAAATGGAGCAAGTTAGAGCAGTCTGAAACTTGAGCTTTTGGCTCATTACTACATATTCGTCTGATTCTGATATGCCTCTATCATTAGTTGAGCAGTCGCCATTGTAACATTACAAATTTAACAGAAATAGACAGGTCTGCTTTAAAGACCATAAAACTAAAAATATCCATAATGATACAGAATGAGGTTATGTCATTTTTATTGATAGTTGTGTTTTTAAAATGACTTACTGATGATGATTTACTAAATGCCAGAACAGCTATAAATGGCTAATTTTGAAGCTCTAAGATAACTTGTGACTCACACTATTCAGTGAAAGGTCAAATGATTACTCAAGGTCAGATTTTGACAGAAAAAGAATCTGCTGCTTAGATAATTAATGAATCATTCAAATAATTTTTAAAACAAGTTGTCACCAACATTTCTCTGTTTTATAGCAGTGGAAACTGAATTTCTGAGTGGGCCGGACAGAACATGGACACTGATTGTATTAGGTTGGTTTGGGAAGACTGTGAGTAACTAATCAATAAATTCACTGTTGGCAACAAATAGTACAATGACTAATGTGTTTGACTAAACTTGACTTGGTTAGTTTGCTGAATGAAGCCAGCAGTTTTAAGCACACAATATTTTTTTTTTATTTTGCAAGGTGATGACTTAGAGATAAGTCCACTATAGAGGTTGAAGACACCTAATCAACAAATGATGAATGGCTTTGATGATGTGCAGAGGGAGCAAAGGCAATGTGGCCAAATAGCCAATCAAAACACAATCACTGGTTTGAGAACCAGAGACCTGAATCACCTCCAAGAAACAGGTTTAAGAATGAATGAATAGCTTACTGTACATATAGTCCCCTAAAACCTTCACTCAGCACATTTCACCAGCTGTTTTGAATAAGCAGAAGTTATAATTTGCATTTAGAATAACGGTCAGTGTTGTTGGTGCTTTAGCTTGGGGCTATACAGTATGTGTTCGTGACAGGACCGGCTGTCTCTCGTTTCCTGCAAAACATGTTTAGCTGAAGCGATGTAAGTTGTTTAAAGCACAATATTCAGCTGGATAATCCAATGTAAACAAAACAAAAAAGGACTCTATTTATCTTTTACATGGAAGTCTGCATCTTTATGTGGGCATTAGCCATTTAAATGACGCTCTGCTGCTAACAGATGGGCTATGTCTAGCGTACAACAAAATGCTCATTAGATCTAAGCAGAAACTGGTAAAAGTCTGACATGTTTCAACATGTAATGTCTGATTGTGTCTTTGCTTATATTTGCACTGCAAAAGTTCCTTTTGGAGGCTTGAAATAAATCCCTCTGTATCCTAGATCATGCATACCGAAGCACTAATTCGGTAACACATCTGTTTTATATTCAAATGTATTTAAAGTCTCTGAAAATGTCGTTTCATTTCTTGAGCTGTATCAGTAAAACACGAGAGGAAGGAAGAACATACTATTCTTTCTTCGGTGATGATTCAGATATGATCATTTTGTGCTCTGATCTTTAACCTTACAATCGAATTTCTTTAATGAAGACTAAGTGGATATGGTTATATATATGATATATTTTGCAATAAATATTCAATGTTATTAACTAAATTATTTAGGCCTTATTTTTAAGGCCAGAAGTAATTGTTAGGTAAGTGACATGAACTAGTTAAATAAAAGATAAGTTAACGTTCAGTGATATGTCCATGCAGGGAAATGCTCATTTGTTTTGTTTAGGCAAATATGTTTTAAGAAGCATCCTGAAAGCCAGGATTCTTGTTTTGTACTTTGTATTAAATCAGTCTCTGATCTTACTAGAAACCAAATGTGCTGCCCACTTCATTAATCAATTTACCATCTGACTATCTCTCATTCATTCTGGGCTGTTATAATTCAAAGTGACTTTGTGGAGGACTCCCAAGAATTGCTGATGAACTTCTCGGTCATGTTTGGCGTGATCTGTGTACTACATCTGCTGCTACAATTATCCCAAAAGACTCTGACCAACACTGTATTCATTTAAAGTACAGTAGTCTGGAAGCTGGCAAACGTTCCCAAATTAGAGACTCAAGAGTCAATCAATGAATCAAAGTCAGAACACAGTATTGTGTTTTGTTTTTTGTTGTTGTTTTAGTTTGATATTATTTGTAATGTATGATAGTCATTGTTTTGAATATCCAAGCATATATTCAAAAATAATAAAGTTCTTTTTTAACGGTTTTCAGTGTTATCAATCAAATCAGCTTTTCAGATGTTGAAATGTACATGTAGACGACACAAGATTTACCCTCACACCTTTGCAGTGCTGTAAAGAAGGTGCAAGAAGTAGCTTCAGTGCTGGAAAATAACTGTTTTGGCTACATGAATATGTTGGAGGCTTAAGGGTCAAAGTGGAGTAATAAGAACAAGAAATATATATTTGTAGCAAAGTCTACCTAACGATGCAGTCCTTTTTTGTAGCGTGCTGTTATTTTGGACATCAAGATGTGAAACGTGCAAAGATCTGTTCAAGTGAATCACTGATCACACACAGAATGTTTTTCTGTTTTTTAGGTGACACCATTATGGCAGGTAGAAGCGTTTCAGGTTTTTTGTGTTTTTTTCTTATTAAAAAAAATGAAAAAATATAACTTTGGGTCAACTTTCATTATCCCCTCCTGCATTTCTACTCATTCCCTCAAACCAAAATATTCTAACAATATGTTCCCTGTTTCTCATTGCTGTTCCTTGTCCCTGTTGTATTTCTTTGGAGTGCTTCATCAAACATCACTCACAGGCCTTCTCTATTAGTCTCTATATAGAGTATTAATGGTTTTTATATTTGACAATATTTCACAGCAACATTTAATTGATTTTCAATGATCTAATTGAATGTAAAATTGTAGAAAAAAGTGTATAAAATATGTTATTCCTGAAGATGTTGTTCTCATTGATCATGTTTTTCGTCATTTCTAACAGACTGATAAATGAAGCGTACTAATAATAAGAAAATTGGTTTAATTGACATTGTTTTCTTAATTGAATCAAATGAGAACGGGGATTTGCCTCAGTGTCTGTGCAAATGTTTTTTTCTTCTTTTCAAATCAAGCCCAGCTCTTTTCCTTGGCAGCCCACACACATCTCTGCTAACCCTATCACCTCAGCCGACAATTAAGCCTGACGCAGATAATGAAAACCTTTCACGGTTCGTGTACCGCCTGCTTACTCACACAGCAGCCTGAATACTTTTTTTTTCAAAACTCATTTACTGTGGGGGATTAGACCTGTGGAGGTTTGGATATTTTGTAAAGCTCAATGTGTTTGTGATTGTGTATTTGCATTTATTTCCATTAGCGTGGCTTCGTTAACCTCAGACTGAACAGTGTGCTCCTGGCTGTTTTACTAAAATCTATTATTCATGAGGCTTTTAAGAAGTTTTGTCACAAAGTGGCATCCACCTCCACCTAATGACTCAGTGATTTAACAGCACTTCTCTCACACACTCAGCTATGAAAGTGGGGAAAAAGACCCAGTGGAAACCTACCAAAGAGAGCCACATGGAAACTTCTCCTCTAGCTGATGTAAAAGACGCACTGGCAGCTCCTCTCTAAGAAAGTTCTCTTTGACGACTGTAGTTTCCTGTTAGTTATTCCACAGGAATTTACAAGACGCCACAAACATT